CGTGCCCGAGCGCTGTCACCCCGTGCCGTGCTGCTGCCGAGGATGTCACCCCGTGCCGTGCTCCTCTGTCCCCACACCGTGGCCTTGTCACCTTGCTGGGGCTGTGACCCCGTGTGTGTCCCTCCACCCCAGCCTGCCACAGCCCTGATCCCGTACTGGGGACATGTCCCCTGCCATGGCTGTGATCACATACTGTGGCCATGCCCCCATGTCACTGTGCCACAGCCATGATCTTGTTACCAGGGACATGCCCCCATGTCCCTCTGCCACAGCCGTGATCCCATACTATGGCCATGTCTCCATGTCACCGTGCCACAACTGTGACCCCATACCATGGCCATGTCCTCATGTCCCTCTGTCACAGCTGTGGTCCTATTCTGTGGCCATGTCCCCATGTCACCTTGCCACAGCCATGATCCCATACCATCTCCATGTCCCTCTGCCATGGCTGCGATCCCATACCACAGCCATTCCCCCCCTCTGCCATCACGATGCTGTGGCTGTGTCCCCATGTCACCTTGCTGTCCCCATGATGCCATGTGGTGACCTGTTGCCATACCATCTGTCAAAGGTGCCCCTTGGTGGGTATGTCCCCTGTCCCGCCCCGCCCTGGGCCCATCAGTGCTCACCTGCAGCAGGTGTTGTGCAAGGGCGGGTGTGAGCGCTCGCCCCTGCACTTGCATATGAAATGGGAACCAGGAGCAGCACCCAGTAATTAACTGGGGTGCCTGTAAAGGCTTTGCTGGCCCCTGGCCGCCAGCGTCCAGCGGGACTGCTCAGACCAAGGGTGGGGACTGAGGTTTGAGGAGCTCCCCGTGGCTCCAGCACGGCTCGTGCCACCCTGCACCCTCCCAGGATGGCTGCCTGAGCCCAGGGGATGAGGCCACCTTGCCTTGGCACCCTCTTTGTGACCCTTTCTCAGCATCTTGCAGCACTCCCCAGGGCAGGCGATGGGCTACATCTGCTTCTGCAGCAGTGACAGTGACCCCAGGCATGTGCTGGCAGGGAGTGAGCTGTGCTTGGATGCTCCTCAGGAACTTCTGCCCTAAATCTGCCGGTGCCCAGACTGGTTTCACCATCGCTCGGGCCCATCAGCCCATGAGGGATGGTGGTCCTGGGCCATCTGCAGCTCCTGGCTTTCCCTTCCCACTGGGAGGTTGGGGCTGTCTGGAAGTTGTCTGCAGAGGACATGGCCTGGGGTGGCTGGATGTGTCCCCCAGCCCTTTGGGGGGGTTGTGCCACCCTGCACCCTCCCCAGGGTGGGTGGTGGTGGTCATGCTCCCCACCCTGTGCTGGTGTCACTGGGGGACATCACTCTGGGGACTGGTTTCTCCTGCAGCACTGTGGGTTCCCCTGTCCCAGCTTTCCTCCTTGTCCCCAGAGTGGCAGAGGCTCTCGGTGCCAGGCTTGGGGACACCTCCATGACCGTATCTCCCCAGCCACAGCTCAGGGTGTTGCCTCAGAGTATCAGTTACTCCTTATTGCTGGTTTGGCTTGCAGCTCCCAGCCCTGGCACGTGCCCTGTTGTTCCCACCCGGCGGCATCCCGTGGGAGGCTGCGGGGAACCGGATCACGGTGTCTCATCACGCTGTGTCACAGCGGAGCTGCTCCAATCCCTCAGCTCCATCCCCAAAATCCAAACACAACCCCGGTGTGGGGAACCAGCTCTTGGTCCCAGTGGGACACAAACAGCAGCCTCAGGCCTTTGTGGAGGGCAAAAGCTGCTGTATCCAACATCACAGCTGGGATTGGGAATGGGGACCTGGCTCTGCTGTGCCCCAAAGCCTGTGGGGTGGGAGGGGATGTGCTCATGGGGGGGTTTGCCTTGCAGGAACTGGCTGGCCTGGTGCCCTCGGCTGCGCACCCTCCTCCTGGTCCTGCTCCTTATCTACCTCTCCGTGCCCTTCCTCGTCCGCCTCTTCCCAAACCTGCTCACCAAATTCGTCTTCCTGAACTTCTGTAAGTGCCCTGGGGCTGTCCCAACTGGGAGAGCTGCTCCTCCAGGGATTCAGGGGGGTTGAGAGGGGTCCCCAAAACGTGGGTGGGGCTGCACTCAGTGCCTGGGTGGCACCGGGACATCACCCATCCAACCCCACCTTTGCCGTGGGCTTGCAGAGGAGGCACTGAGGGACCTTTCCCGTTGGCACCTTGTGTTTTTAAGCTGGAATAACGCGGTGCTGCTGACCCTGTTCACTGCCAGAAGTTGCCCCATATAGAATCATAGAATGGTTTGGATTGGAAGGGACCTCAAAGATCATCCAGTTCCAACCCCCCTGCCAGCAGCAGGGACACCTTCCACTAGACCAGGTTGCTCAAAGCCTCATCCAGCCTGGCCTTCAACACTTCCAGGGAGGAGCATCCACAGCTTCTCTGGGCAACCTGGGCCAGTGTCTCACCACCCTGACAGTGAAGAACTTCTTCCTAATATCTCATCTAAACCTCCCCTCTTTCAGTTTAAACCCATTTCCCCTTGTTTTGTCATTAACTGCCCTTATGAAAAGTCCTTCCCCAGCTTTCTTGTAGCCCCTTCAGGTACTGGGAGGCCGCTAGAAGATCTCCCCAGAGCCTTCTCTTCTCCAGGCTGAACACATCAGGGCACACCCAGCGTCAGCGGGGTTGGAAATTGGGGTGGGAGGAGGTGGCAGAGGGCTGAGCTCCCCTGCCCGCTCCCCGAGCCGGCTGTAGGACACCCCTCAGCTTCTGGGAAAATTATATATATAAAATAAATAAATCCCATGTGGCTTTGGAACGATGCACGGAAGCAGCTGGGATGAGGGTCCCTGGGCTGCTCCTGTGACAGATGTCATTTCTCCATCAGTGGCCTTCCCCTTCTTCGTGGACCTTCGGCAGCCAGAGCTGCTCCTCAACAACACCATCAGCCTGTACCTCACCCCTGAGCCGGGCGTCACTGTCGGCCTGTCGGCATCTGGTGAGTGGGGTAACCCCGGTGTCCTGGGTGGCCACAGCCATGTGGTTACGCTGGTGTGGTGACTAAACTGGGTGTAAACCCCCTGAGATAACCCTGCTGTGACCCCCCCCAGGCATACGGTGCCGGGCAGCAGAGGGGCCGAGGCGCGGGGCAAGGACCAGCACTGGTATGAGGAGGCACTTGCTGATGCTCACCCCGTGATCATCTACCTGCATGGCAATGGGGGGACCAGGTGAGTAGCCAGGAGTGCCGCTGAGGTGGCCATTCTCATGCAGTGTCTCCCCATGGGCTGAGAACTTGCAAACTCAGTGCAGGAGCCAGCGGGGCTGGGGTTGCTGGGGTGGTTCCTGACCCCCATGAGGCAAGGAAAGTTCCTTTGAGTGAAAGGGAAACATCAAAAGTCACCAACCCCAGAGCATCCAGCTCCCTGCTCCTGGGAAAGGGTGACCCCAGTCCCTCACCTGGACTGGTGCTGGAGGGGAGGGTCCCCTGAGCTGGTGGGATGGAGCCCCCTCCCCAGGCTCTGACCTTGTGTTCCCCATCAGGGCTGCGAACCACCGCATCCAGTTCTTGAAGGTAAGTGGTCCCCTGTGGTGGGACTGGGACCTGCTGGGGTTAAGGTCATGCTGGCTCTGGGGAGTGTGACCTGGGGGGGGTCTGGGGGTGCATCCCCTGACCCCAGGACATGACACGGTGCCGCTGCTCTGACAGACGATGGGAGCTGCTGACTTCCACATCCTGGCTCTGGACTACAGAGGTAAAGTCACCCCCCTCTGCCTCTCTCTGAGTGACCCCCCCAGGGTCTGGTCCCGCCCTGGGTTGTGACACCGAGCCATGTCCCCCTCAGGCTATGGGGACTCCAGTGGGCACCCCACGGAGAGCGGCTTCACCACCGATGTCCTGGCACTCTACGACTGGGCCAAAGCGCGGAGTGGCAACAGCAGCATCCTCTTCTGGGGACACTCCCTGGGGACAGGGTAGGTGCAAGACTGGACAAGGGAGGGGGGGGATGCTGGACCCCACAGCTGGTCACCCCACTGCTGCCAGACCAGTGTCACCCAGGGATGGACCAAGGAGCTGGAGCAACTCCATGGTGGAGGCATCTGCAAAGCAAAGCCCAGCAGGGAAGGGAGGGGGGTCTTGAGGATGCTGCTCCCCCTCACTGTCACCTCTCTTGTCACAGGATTGCCACCAACGCGGCAAGGAAGCTGCAGGAGGAGCAAGGTAAGGGCCAGTGTGGCTGGGTTGTCCCTGTGTGGTTTCCCCCCTGGGGCTCTGGACACCCCGGACAGATTTTGGGGGCCACAGAGGAGCTGGGGAGCCTCGTGTCTCTCTGCTCAACCATCAGGCTTGGCC